ATAACTGAAACAAATAACTACACATGCTGTCCTACGAACACAGTGGGGACCACTGCTGTGGGGCCCACATCAGTGTTCTCTACAAGCTCAAAGAAGAATAGGAAGATGGAGGATGAAGGGAGGGAGTAGATCTTAATCACAATTTTTCTCCTTCCACATTTAGAAAACTTATTTAATTTTTATTGTTGTTTTTCTTTTCATTCAACATATGGATAGAACTATCTTTTAAATATATTTTACAGTCTTATTAGTTAATATGATGTCAACTTTGTCAATGTTACAAGAAATATCAAGCTGATATGTTTCCACCCCATTTTTTGCCACATGTGTCAAGATGCATAAATGGAGAATTCAGTAATCTATTCAAACAACAGTTTGCATAACAAACAACACCAAGTCCATAAGGATATTCAAATGGAATGTTTGCATAACTATAGTAAATTCTGATACTTACAACATCAGAAAATGCAACAGAAAGAGATCCAAGAAGAATACAAAACGCAGCATTGTATTTGCTGTCAACAGATGTGGCCATCAAAGTCCATGAGAATGCTCCAAGAAGCCCTGATAAAACAAGATATGACCTTCTTCGATAACCAAAAAGTGGAAAAGAGTCACTGCAATAACAAAACACTTGTTAGAAAATAACATACAGAAAGAAAGCTGTTGCCCAAATAAAATCAGAAAAAAAAGGAGTAGCACACAGACGCAAACCTGATAAAGCCATAAAGAGGCTTTATTAGCCACGGCAATGCAGAGAAACCAGATATAAGAGCTGTCTAATGGATTAGGTATAATTTGTCAGTCCCTGTAACACAATTATTTCAAATGTGGTCTACTCTCAAATAAAAAGGGACTTCTCTCCCTTAGCTACAAGATATTCATGAGCTAACCCAAATGTTCTGCATAAAATTGCAATATACCAAAAAGAAACAGATGGATAATGTAAGCATCTAGTACTAAAGATAAACCGAAGATACTAGCATTATATTACTCTGTATAAAACTACCAATAAGGTTCATAAATTCATCAATCATTACTAAAGCATTAATGTAAGGAAGAAAAGTAAGAGATATGGGATGGTGCTCAGGGTGGGGTGCAAATTGAGTAGGCTGGGCTAGGTTTAAGGCCAACCTAGGCAACCCTAAGACCTGGACCTCAGGCTGAGGCCCAGTCCATGAAAGCCCAAGCTCAGCTCTAAAACCTACAACACTTCAGGCCAGGCTCAGGCTCAGGCCTGAGTAGGCTTGGCAGCTTGGTTGGGTTCAAAGATCTTCTTGCTAAGGTTTTGCACTTCTACCTTCCATTTGGACTTTATAGTAGGGCTAAAATCAAACTGAACTCTAATCGAATAGTTCGGGCTCAAGTTTGATTCTAATCAAGTTCAAATCTTGGGATAAGCTCAATTAGCTATTCAAACTTGAGCTCGACCAATAAAAAGTTCAGCTTGAAAACTCACAAGCCTAGCTTAATTAACTCATACATACATACATGCATACTATAGAATATAAAAATATATTTTATAATATAAACATATATTCTTATGTAAAATATATTTTTGTATTCTATATATAATGTAAGAATATATCATATATTATAAAAAATATATCATATATACTTATAAAATAAAAATATATATATATATTCATTTTCAAGCTTTCAAGTCGAACTTGAGCTCATCAAATATTTAATTGAACTGAGTTCGAACCAAGAAATAGAGTTTGAATCAAACTTGAGCTCGAACCTAATAATACTTTAGTTGAATGACTCGAACCAAGCCAAGGCATGCAGAAATTTGGGTTGGCTTGGCTCGATTACACCCCTACTTTATAGTACAATTTCTAGTCCAATATAGAAATAGAATGAAAGACAATTACATCCACATCATTAGAAAAACATTGAAGGACCAAGGAATCTTCTACATAACAAATTGTTTTGCAGCCTAAAATGGTCGCACAAGTTCCTCTAAACATCCCTTGTTAATTGGGCAAATTTGAGTCCAAAGTCCCCTTGCCACATGAACACAACAAACCCCTCTTTTTCAGTCAATTTTGATATTAAAATATTGAAACTTTCAATATCCAATACTGCTTGCAAAAGACACTAGCAAAAGGTCGGCCAAAAGCTGATGTGGACTGTAAGTTACAGGTGGTCAATCTAGAGGATCTCCTACTGAGTGGATAGTTATGATTAGCCACATCATCCCTCCATGTGTCAAATATAGCAGATTGTATATGTATACGCATGTTTAGCCACATCATCCCTCCAGATTGTATATATATATATATACGCATGTTTGTGCATGTGTGCATGAATATAGGCCTAGGCCTATTTAAGGACATCCAACTAATCTCTTTTTTGCATGTTGGACCTTTTTTTGATTGAGCTTCTTGTATCTTTCCATTGTACAGGTCCTCATCGTACATGGGTTCTTTTTTCTAATACAATACTTTACCTTGTTCAAAAAAATGAATATAGGCCTATGCCAATCAAATACATAGTTTAGATATACTCTAGAGAGGATACAATATAGTGTAAATACATAGTATACACATATATAATAGCATAAATATAGTACACAATGCACATATATACATGGAGTTTTTTTTTTTTTTTTGTGAACCATATATATACATGGAGTGTTCAGATATCACAGAAGGGCAATGGGCTCAGGCTACCTAAGACAACCCAAGACAACAAACCCTAGTTGGAGTCAAAGCCAAGTAGTCTCCAGGCCCATGCCCAGCCAAATCCTGAAACTCCAATCTCAACCTATGCAAAAAAAGCTTGATTTGGATCGGGCTAGGGTGTGAATCGTGTGGCCTGCCGAAGTTACAAACCTAACTGCAAATTGTATTCAAAACTATTTCCTCCATATATCTTGGGAGTTAAATATATAGACAATTTCAAAGTTAGCACCTTAGCATACCTCTGCTGGATCTAGATGCAGGTCATCTTTTAAATAAAAGCTCACAGCAAGCCTAGAAAGGCCTAAAACTCCTTGAACAAAGTATACCATTGCAACTGCAATGGTATCTGGGGACATGTCTACCCCAAAGCATTTAATGGCGCCCATAAAAGATCTATTGTTGCGTGGAGCAGTTTTATTGGAAGAGCACCTTTCGCCTTCAATATCTGTTGTCAATAACTCCCCCTTTCCTGAACCTGAATCAACCATATGAATGAAAAGCATGAGACAGAGGGGGGTCCATAAATCTAGAAAATGAAGAGATTTTTACACATTGTTATGGGTAAATCTAAAAAGGATAAGACTCTTACACATCTTATGTGAATATATTGAACTCTACTCTCTAAAATGATATTCTCGAGTGTGTAGGGAGAGCACTGAGCACATGAAAATTCTCTTCCTCCCCTTACAAACTTCACTGTTTAAGGTGATTTACAGAAAAGTCAACCAGTATCTATTTCCCTATATTCTTTTTTCCAAGCACATAGCGGCAACAACTACCCCAGAAGAAAGTATCCTCAACACAATTCACTTCTCCCCATTCCTTATTCTTCTTGCTTCAAAAACAGGAGGTCCACAGAGAACAGCCCAAATGCTGGAATAGGAGGTCTGATTCGAAGAGTGTATGGAGATTTGACTTGGGCCTATAGTGGTCCATCCAAGGCTGCTGATGCATCTGAAGCAGAGGCTAGGGTCCTCCTGGAAGGCCTCAGAATCGCCAAGTCTCATCAACTTTGTTTCGTTGCAGTGGAAGGAAATTCGAGGAATGTTATAAATTGGGCTTCTGGACAGACTATTGACCCATGGAAGCTATCCCATTTTCTGTTAGAAATCAGGGAGCTGGACTCTTGCTTACAGTGCAGCTTTAGATGGATTCCCAGAGAATTAAATCAAGTGGCTGATAGTCCAGCTAAATCTGGGCTGGGAAGGGATTTCTTGTATAGTGCTCATACATTGCCAATTTAGTGGGCTTTGCCTTTTGTTTTTGTTTTGATGACAAGGATTTGTACATCCCTCCCCTCTTTTGATCTTAATGAAACTAGTTATCTTCTCTCTATCTCTCAAAAAAAAAGGCTTGTGTCAATCACAAACAGCTAATTGCAACCCCACTTTTATAGGTCAACATTTTTATTGTTACTTCTTTTTAGATTTATAGGTAAACTTCTGCAGTTTATTTGCCCAACATTTTGCAGATGAGTTGGGTAGGAGCAATACAGTAGCCTTAGGAACATAATTCTTTTGATAAGCCCATTTGTCTGTGATTGGGTCACCATAATTCTTTTGAGAAGCCTTCTTTAATGATAACTAGATCAGCATTTTATTAATAGAGGAAGATATACGTAGAGAAATATCACAATATATGTAGATCAGCATTTTATTAGAACTTATTAAATTGCCCTACTGATCTCTAAATTGGGTTTTTGTGCTAATTTTTTTCTTTGTCCATGTACTCACAAGTACATTTATGTTTGTTGAAGTGTCTGATAGAGATTGGCAACTGGGAATCACCATACAATCCCTGGCCCTCAGGAATTGATAATACTTTTAGTTTGAAAATTGGGTAGCCTTCTTGAAGTGGTTAGGCAATGTCAACTCACACAGAGCTGAAGAAATGACTTTACTAGTGGATCTATGAATGGCAAAGACAATAGGCTTAATCCAATTGTGGTGGAATAGAATTCAAGAAACGCAATTGTTTAGATGGGCAAAAGGGAGGTTGTAGGTCATATGGAAGTCTGCCTAGTGTCTTACAGAGACAATTTTACTAGTGGCTTGTTCAGTGTTTGTGACATGGATTCTGAGGAATACAATGAGATAGATGATAGTCTAGCTAGACTGGGGGAAGGCCAACTCTATGCCTTTGCAAAGCTCTTTTCTGTGTGTGTGTGTGTGTGCGGGTGGGGTGGGGTGGGGTGAGGGGGCGCAGTTCTTCTTTCTGCATGTCATAAAAAGCTAACAGCCATCCTTACTACAAAAAAGTTCTGCCAAACACACTTGAAACTGCAATTGGTCATGCAATTACAGTTACCTCCTTAATTTATTTAACGATTTGAATCGTTATTTGTTTCAACTACGTCGATTTTGAGTCATGCAATTACAGTCAATAATCGAGCACGAAAATTAACTGAACATTCGCAAGTGTACAAAAAGCGAAACTCACAGGTTCTAGAATCGGAATAAGGTTCATCTTCCTTTTCTCGCCGGAGGGACGGTGCCTGTACAGGAACGATGACTGACATATCTCTCTCCGATCGTTGGCGTCGTATTTTTCGGCGAGTCCGTCTAGAGGTACCGGAGAAATGGATTCGTGTGTCGGGTCTCCGACGGATCTCACAGAATGTGGGAGAGGAGACAGAGGACGGGTAGAGGTTTAGAAAAGGTAACAAAAAAACTGGAACAGCATTTGCGGAAGCCATAAAAGGGGCTGTACCAGTTTAGGTGGAGCCGTGGTCCGAGGAGCGTGTTTTGGTACCCTTTTTTTAATATTTTGGGCGCGAGTTTCCTAGGTGATTTCTCGTTACAGGCCTTGGATGGCCAATGTTCCTTACACGTGGTCTTCAGTAGTGACTCAAGTTGAGCCACGTCATCCATTTCCGTGCAGTACCAAACAACTTTACCAAGACTGCTTGATCTTGGCCGTTGTCCATCCACTAACAGTTATAACGACCGTTAAAAGGGCTAATGATCGTGAGATTATATGGATATCCTCATCTCACAAGTCAAGTAGGAGATGATAAGAATAATCAACGTACTGGGCGTGTTGGGATTTACTTTTCTAACAAGTTATAATATAATCTTTAGTCCGCATTCCGCACATCACATCTTATCATGGAGGGTCTCGTCTGATGGTAAGATGTGTGAATACAGATATGGTAAAAGGGTCATTTGATAACGTCTGAATAGCTTATTATTTTGTCTGGGATAAAATAATTGAGGATAAACTACAAAGACCCCTCAGTAAGATGGCGTCTGTGATAAAGACCCCTTTCGTTAACATTCTGTCAATTAACGTCGAAAAAAAACTTCACCTGATTGTTTAAAATTTTTTTAATACCTAAATTACCCTTTTCCAATTTACCTTTTTCTCTCCTTTTCTACGTCTTTGCAAGATGTTTGTTTCTGCAATCAATATCTGCTCTTGAGAAATTGCGGCTTCTGGTGTTAAAGGAATGGGTCCATCGAAAATATTGTTCCCTGCCGTTGATCAAAACAAATTGATCTCGTAAGGGAGGCAACCGGATAATTGGTTGTTTAAAAGAAGCATCTCCACCAATTGTGCCTTCTGAATAGGCGAAGCTACTAAATGAAAACGGAGTCCCCCGCCCCCCATTCCATGCTTCTCCCCCTCTCTTCACGAATGAAAAGGGAGAGAACAGAATTATGTAATACGTTCTCACCGGAAGATAAACGCTATGATCTACGTCGTTGGATCATTTTGTGGTTCATCGTGTGTGTATATGAATCACAAAATCATCCAGCCGCACAATGGAGCAGAGGATGATCGCAATGAAATCAGACGACTGAAACACAATTACACAATTTCAATCCTGCTCACCCGAAACACAGGATAGCATTCAGGGAAAGCAGATGGTGGAGATGGACATGTTGTGATCGACAATGATGATGATGAATTCAACACAAGAAGTACAGCAAAAAAGACCCTTAATGGAACTACATATAACGGGAAGCCAACCGGCCGGCAGTCCGTCAACCAGACGCACTTCCTTCCGGTGCTTTTTCTTTGCTCGCTTTTCAGTAGTCTGCTGTGGTGGGCAACTGCCCGTGAGAGTGGTTGATGAAGAAGAACTCGTAGACGAGACCAGCAAGCCCACCTCCGATCAGAGGGTCGGCCTAGTAGACCCAGTGGTTTTCCCAGGTCTAGCTCACCAAAACCGGTCCGAATGACACAGCAAGGTTGACGTGGCCTCCGGAGATGTTGGCGCCGATGGAGACAACAACGAAAAGACCGAAAGCATGGGCCAAGGCTGCGGCTACGAGGGCCATTACTCAGAGGCGGAGCCAGAAAATTTTGATAAGGGGCCAACTATTGAGATGGATAGTGGAGGGAGGGGAAATTTTATATAAAAAACTGTGTATTATTATGAAGATTTTCTGAACCATATGGGGGGCTATGACTCCCCTAGGTCCCCCTAGTTCCACCCCTGCCATTACTGGTTAGGTTATTGAAGGTCATGTCGGAACCCTCTCTGGTTCCAGTTGTGTATGATGCCAAACGAACAAACACCTTTTGCCAGTAATGGAGGTGGTGGTGGGGATGTTTGTTCCGATTGTTACAATTCCCATTACGGTGGGAGTGGAGGAGGAAGTTGCGGTGGCAGTGTTTGTGTAACTTGATGCGGTGAATGAACAATTACGATTAAAGCTTTTTTTATGTCAGTGATGTTTTAAGAGAGAATGGTAATAAAAAGAAAATAGAAAAAGTTTAATAAGGTATTTTGGTAATTTAACACTTTTTGTTATCTGCCTTAACGGCCGAGGCAAAAAATATAGGGGTCTTTATTACTGACCTTTTAGTAGAAGGAGGTCTTTGTAATTTACCCAATAATTAAATAAAAAAATATTCACCGATATGGGAAATTGGTTATCTACCCATTAAGGAGACTACAACCTCCTTAAAAGTTATTCACTAAAAGGCAAAGCAATAGCGTTTTCAATTCATCCATTATCAAACGGCTCCTTATATCATACTAAAAAAAGGAATAATATTTGGGAGCTCCTATCATAGAAGGTAGAGTGACAAGGTAAACCTTCAAGAAGGTGGAGGAAAATATAAGTAAAGAGTGGAAGAAAAATATCCTATTCATAGTAGGCAGAGTTACATTATTAAAAGCATCTATTAATATGATGCCACAATTCTTGATGAGAGTTTTCAAACTCCCAAGAATTATGATAAGAGAATATTGAGAAAAAACAAAACAACTTTCTTTGAAATTGGGATAGAAAGAAAGGAGTGGACCTAGTTAAGTGGGAAAGTATATGTAAATCGAAAAAAGAATGGAGGATGGGGTTTAAAAATCCTAAAATGGGTTAATGAAGTAAGTATTGAAGGAAATAATGAAGATTGAATTCTCATGTATTCTATTGATGTAATTAACTCAATATATATACGTAGCTGTCCCATCATGTTACAATAGGTAACAAGGATAAAAATAGAGGGATAAGATATGTACAAAGGATAAGATATACACTACAACCAAATAGAGATAGAGTTGGTTTCCAACTCTAGCGTATCTAATAAGGTCTAACAGCCCCCCTCAAGTTGAGGGTGGAGGGACAATGTTCAACTTGCTTCGAAGAGTAGAGAACTGAGGTCTAGGAAGTGCCTTTGTAAATATGTCAGCAGGCTGGTCCTTAGTGTTGATGTATTGCGCTTGAAGTTCTCTAGCAGCCACATGTTCACGTACAACATGATAATCAATGGAGATGTGTTTGATATGTGCATGAAACACCCAATTGGCTGTCAAGTAGATGGCACCGATGTTATGACACCATAGGGTAGGAGGCTCCGAAAGAGAAAGACGAAGCTCCTTAAAGAGGGACTTGAGCCATAGGAGCTCAAAGGTAGCAGTGGCAACACTTCTATACTCAAATTTTGTACTAGAGCGTGAAACAATGGCTTGCTTCTTAGATCCAAGAGATGAGATTGGGACCAATGAAGATACAATATCCAGCATGAGAGCGACATTGCTTCTTAGGTCATCCATATGATCAGTGGTGGGTTGGTGTAGGTATTGACATAATTTGTTGACGATAAAAGAAATCTTTGGTCGAGTAATCGTCAAATACTGGAGAGCGCCAACTAGTCTTCTATAATTAGTAGGATCTTGGAGCAGTGTACCACCAAGAGAGAGAGACATGTTAGGAGTGATAGGCGTGCTTATGGGCTTAGCGGTATCCATGCCTGATTTGTGAAGCAGATCAACTATGTATTTTCCTCTGGGAGAAATGAATGCTGGTGCTGGAGCGAGAAACCTCGATGCCCAAAAAATAATTGATTGTGCCAAGGTCCTTAATAGAAAATTTTGAACCAATAGTGGATATGAGAGAAAGAACATCCTAAGATGAAGACCCAGTAATAATTACGTCGTCAACATAAGCGAGCACCAACAAGATACCAGCAGTTGAATGTTGAATGAAGAGAGAGGAATCTGATATAGAGGGCCGAAAACTGGAGGCAACAAGAAAGTCATGAAGCTTGGAATACCAAGCCCGAGGCGCCTGTTTGAGCCCATAGAGAGCTTTATGGAGGCGATAGACATTCTTAGGCTTCTCAGAATTAATGAAGCCAGGGGGTTGAGACATGTATGCAACCTCCTTGAAATCCCCATGTAAGAAAGCAGTGTTTACATCAAGCTGTTGTAAAATCCAATCATTGAGAAGGGCAAGGTGTAGAACCACCCAAAGAGTTACTGGCTTAATAACAGGACTGAAAGTGTCTGTGTAGTCGATACCTTCACGTTGTGTGTAGCCCTTGGCTACCAACCTGGCTTTAAAGCAGTCAACGGTACCATCAGAATTATGCTTTACCCGAAATACCCACTTACATCCGACGACATTGGCATCAATGGGTAAGGGGCAGAGTGTCTAGGTGTTATTAGCTTGTAGTGAAGCTATCTCGTCCTGCATAGCAACATGCCACTGAGGTAGGAGTAAGGCTTGATGGATAGATTTGGGTTTTGTTGTGTTGATAGGTAAGGGGTATTTGGTTGTTAGATATAGCTTGGGTTTGCGAGTGCCATCAATAGTACATGTCACCATGGCATGGGTGCAACAAGGTGCTGGTGGGCAAGGAAGTTCAATGTATGGACAAGGTGGGTCAATGGTGGAGCACAAGGATGCATTGGATGGGTTAGATGGGGGTGGGAAAGAAGGGTCACGAGGTGACGACTGTGGAGAGGGGAGAGTAGAAGAGAAGTGAGAAGGGGGAGATGGTCTTGATGTAATTGGGGGAGGGCCTACGAAAGTACCATGAAGAGATGATGAGGGCATGCTGGGAGGGTGTGAATAGAAAAAGGGAATTGGGATTCATTGAAAACAACATGTCGAGAGATAAACATTTTACCTAATGGTACGTGATAGCATTTATAGCCTTTGTGACAATTCGAATACCCCATGAAAACACAAGACAAACTTATGTAATCCAGTTTATGATCACCATAAGGTCGAGTGTAAGGGAAACACTCACACCCAAAGACCCGTAGAGAAAGATAATCTGGGTCATTGCTAAAAAGACGGGTCCATGGAGTTCTATAGTTAAGAACCTTCATAGGCAATCTATTGATGAGAAATACTACAGTTTGAAATGCCTCAATCCAAAAATATGGTGGTATAGATGCCTTTGCCATCAAGGTTAAGCCGAATTCAATAGTATGACAATGTTTCCTCTCAGTAGACCCGTTCTGTTGTAGAGTG